GTGTTAAGTTTGTATTACGTTAAGTTACGTTAGGTTAGAGAGAAAGAACGAAAGGTTGAAAGAGGGTAAAAGAGGAAGAAAGCAAGAGAAGAAGAGAGAAAGAGAGAGAGAGAGACAAGTGACACCCAGATCAAGACACAAGAACCACTATTTGGGAGAGAATTTTTGTCCCAATGTTTACGTCTCAGAGCTGACAACTTAATTGGTTGAGGGAGACGGCAAGAGTGCTAGTGATGGTGTCAGTCACTTGGTCTTCACACTGTGCTATACAACTCTCACTTGGTCGTGTTGTAGTGTGTCTGTATGGTGTCTTGTAGCTGTATGGTGTCTTGTGGCTGTATGGTGTCTTGTGGCTGTATGGTGTGTCATGTCTTTATGGAATCTTGTAGCTGTATGGTGTGTATGGTGTCTCATGGTATGTGTGGTGTCTGTAAGGTGTATACTGTATACTTGTGCACCATTCAACACACTATAGTTCATCATCCTCAACTCCTTAGCTCCTCTACAGCCTCTCAGTCACAGTCAGTATAAAGCTCCTTACTGTAGTGACCTGTAGCCTGCTGTAGTGTATACCTGTAGTAGGAGAAACAAAGAGAGGGGTGTGTTGTTTGTGTATTGTAGTGGCAGTGTGAGAGAGAGAGAGAAAGAGAGAGAGAGAGAGAGAGAGAGAGACTGGACTGATGAAGAAGTCTGTTGTTTGGGTACTGTGTGTGTGTGTGTGTGTGTGTGTGTGTGTGTGTGTGTGTGTGTGTGTGTGTGTGTGTGTGTGTGTGTGTGTGTGTGTGTGTGTGTGTGTGTGTGTGCGCGTACAGGTGGGCTGGGGGACAGATGTGCTGCTGTTCATTGATTAGTTGACCCAAGCTTCGACGGCTGAAAGAAGTTACCCATAGCACCCTCTCTCTCTCTCTCTCTCTCTCTCTCTCTCTCTCTCTCTCTCTCTCTCTCTCTCTCTCTCTCAGGCCCTCCCTATCAGTTTTTTCTTTCTCTTCTTTACAGTACTCGCTTTTATCCTTCCCTCCTTCTCTCACTTCCTTCTCTCTTCATATTTACATGGCTCTCCCTCCTTCTCTTCCTTTCTCTCCTCCTCTTCACCCTTGCCTTGTCTCTCCTCCTTCCCCCACATTTAACCTTACTTTTTATTCTTCTCTATCCCTCCTCTCTCTTCCTTTACCTCTCCCCTTCCCCTCCCCCGTCTCTCAGCACACTCCTTTAGTTGTTCCTTCGTCTCTTCTCCCCCTTCCTCTTTCCTCTTATTGAAAAATTTCCTCCCCATTCTCTTATTCTCTCCTTTCTCTCATATTTTCCTTCCCTCTCGTTCTCTCTTTACCTCACTCTGTCTCCTCCTTTCTGTCCTTCTCTCACCCTCCTTCCTCATTCTCCCTTTCCTTCCCCCTGTCTCCATCATTATCGCCTTCCCTCACCTTCTCTCCTCCTTTATCTTCTTCTCTCACCCTCTCTCCTCCCTCCCTCCCTCACACAAAGCAGAAGAGACAACAGACGAATGAGGTCAAGAAGGACTCATTGTGTAGTTCTGTTCCTCTGTCTGTCTGTCTGTCTGTCTTTTCACTTTCTCTGTCCCTCTCTCTCACTCACTTTCTCTACCTCTCGTTTTCTCTCTTTCTCACTCACTTTCTCTCTCTCTTTCTCACTCACTTTCTCTGCCTCTCTCTTTCACTCACTCTCTATCTCTCTCTCATTCTCTCTCACTATTATCACCAGTACTCACGCTTGACACAACAATGTCAACAACTTGTGTCGGACACATTGTTAACACTTTCATATTACTCTCTCCAGTACACCACGAACACGTCTGGCTTTTGTGGCTTTTGTGGATCCTAAGTTGTTCTTTGGAGGCTTTTGTGGGTCCTAAGTTTGTCTTCAGTGGCTTTTGTGAGTCCTAAGTTGTTCTTTGGTGGCTTTTGTGGATCATAAGTCTGTCTTTAGTGGCTTTTGTGGGTCATAAGTCTGTCTTTAGTGGCTTTTGTGGGTCCTAAGTTTGTCTTTAGTGGCTTTTGTGGGTCCTATACCTGTCTTTTGTGGGTCCTATACCTGTCTTTTGTGGGTCCTATACCTGTCTCTGTCTGTCTGTCTTTTTCCATGTCTCTGTCTCTCTATCATTCTGTTTGTCTATCTTTCTCTGTCTATCACTGTCTCTCTATCTCTGAATGATTTAGTGCAGGGCATCAACTCTCACTGCAATATTCACCGAACCTGTCGACAAATAGATTAAAAAATAATGTTGAACTCACGGAGGTCAGGGGGCTTGTTATATGTAAGTTTTTCGTTGTGCCTGGCGAACTTCCGCTTTGGTGGCGTTCACAAAGGGAGAGGAGTGTGGGAGGGGGGGGTGTGGGAGAAGTGGGTGAGAGGGGTGTGTAGGTGGGGGTGGGAGAGGAATATGAGAGGAGAGTGTGGGTGAGGAATAGGAGAGCAGTGTGGGAAGGGTGTGGGAGAGGATTACCTGGTAGATCTCAGTATAATTGGAGTTAATAATCGTCGTAATTATATAGATTTTAACCAATTGATATTACTATGTGGCCTTAATTTTCTTGGCGTATAAGATGGTGAAATTTAATACTGTACCTGTATGTCTACCTGTAATTGTACCTGTATGTCTACCTGATATTGTACCTGCATGTCTACCTGTACCTGTAATTGAATGTCTACCTGTACCTGTAATTGAATGTCTAACTCTACCTGTATTTTCCTTCTGTACTTAACATAAGGAAATACAAAAATAAACAGATTACGTCATCATTATTACCAAACTCGATTATTATAAGAGCAAAGGTTGTAATGACGTTAGGGCTTATTTGTATTCAAGAGGCAGCCTCCCAGTGTCTACGGGTCTCACAGCAAAACATTCATTTGTTGTAACACTGAAAAAACAAACATTTAAATGTGCTTCCAGGATTTTTTAAAGATTTTCTTTTGCAAAATCCTACACGATGTTATAACGAGAGAGAGAGAGAGAGAGAGAGAGAGAGAGAGTTGTGAGTCAGAAAGAGAAAGGCTTAAAAATGGATACACAAACAGACAGATAAATAGACGAACAGACAGACAAATTAATATATGAAAGAACAGAGAGAGAGAAAACTGTAACACACATACACCAAAAGAACTAGTCAATCACTCTAACAACTTAACAAAGGTTTAGAAGCGACAAACGTGAAATTCAAGTCCATGGTCCTGACTCCCTGTCGGGCTGTAGACGGCGACGTAATCAACCAACCGACACAGATTTCCCCTGAGTTCCCCGCGAGAGAGACACACTTCCTCCGTCAGCCCCAAGAAAATTATATTATTCGTGAAAACTTAGCATTAATCAACCTCACAAACGATACAAAAAATATATATAACACTAATTTTATATATATATATATTATTTAAATAATTAAGTTTAATATAGACAAATAAATAGAGAGAAAGGTTTTGGTAAAGTCGGAATGTAAATTAGGGAACTGTGGCAGATGATACACATTAGGCCTTTGTTTATGTTTCTCATAGCGCGGTAGATGGAGCGCGCGGGAACATTGTTGTGTGTTTATGTTATGACTTCCTGATGGCTGCTGGTTGGGAAGCTAACTAACTACAAGATGGTTGTAATGTTGTCATAGAAACGTTATTATGTATAGAGTGTAATTCTGTTCTGTTTTGTAATATAATGTGTTTGTGATTGTGTCTTCTCGCTATAAGCAGCATCTCGACCCACACGTTGCACTAATTCATGAAGTGTTCAAGGAGGTAGCCCACCTCAGCCAACACAGCGGTAGTATGACCCTGAGTGTGTGTGTTTATTTAAGACTATTAAGGGACTGTCCAGCAGGTTGGGATAATTGTTGTACACTTTAAAAGAAAAGTAACATTCCTTGACGTTAACACAAATGAATTTTTAACCTAACCTAACCTAACCTAATTTAAACATATATCATTAATAATAACTATACTTATATCATTACTTATACACAGACAGATACAGCAACTAAGGGTTAATAAAATGCTATGTTAAGAAATAGGTGAAGTTTTATTTATAAATACATTGGTATATAACGAACAGTAGGCAAAGCTCAGTAGACAAAGAAGTTATGTGTTAAAGTGTGGTGATGGTGTGGTATAATGTGGTGGTGTGGTATAGTGTGATGGTGTGGTATAGTGTGGTGGTGGTGTGGTATAATGTGGTGGTGTGGTATAGTGTGATGGTGTGGTATAGTGTGATGGTGGTGCAGTATACTGTGGTGGTGTGGTATAGTGTGATGGTGGTGTGGTGGCATAATGTGGTGGTGTGGTGTGATGGTGTGGCATTGTGTGGTGGTGGTGCAGCATAATGTGGTGGTGTGGTATATAGCAAGATGGTGGTGGTGGTGGTGTGGTATAATGTGGTGGTGGTATAGTGTGATGGTGTGGTATTGTGTGTGGTGGTGGTGCAGTATACTGTGGTGGTGTGGTATAGTGTGATGGTGGTGGTGGTGTGGTATAATGTGGTGTGGTATATGTGATGGTGGCGGTGTGGGTATTGTGTGTGGTGTGGGTATAGTGTAGTGGTGGTGTGCATAGTGTGTGTGGTGGTGTGTGGTAGTGTGGTGGTGGTGTGGCATAGTGTGGCAAGGGATGTGGTATAGTGGTGGGTGGGTATAGTGTGGTGGTGGTGTGATATATTGTGGTGGTGGTGAGGTGTAGTGTGTGGTGATGTGGGTATAGTGCGGTGGTGTGGTATAGTGTGGTGATGGTGGTGGTGTGGTATAATAGGTGGTGTGGGTATATTGTGTGGTGGTGTGGTATAGTGTGGTGATGGTGGTGGTGTGGTATAGTGTGGTGGTGGTGGTGTGGTTTAGTGGTGGTGTGGGTATAGTGTGGTGGTGGTGTGTGGTATAGTGTGGTGGTGGTGTGGGTATATGTGGGTGATGGTGGTGGTATAGTGCGGTGGTGGTGTGGTATATTGTGGTGGTGTGGTATAGTGTGGTGATGGTGGTGGTGTGGTATATTGTGGTAGTGGTGGTGTGGTACAGTGTGGTGATGGTGGTGGTGTGGTATATTGTGGTGGTGGTGGTGTGGTGTGACACTGTACAGTAAAACATGTTGAGACTAACGACATCTTACTGGGTAAATTTTATTCAGTAAAAAATTTATCATCTGGGGGAGTTGTGCAGCTCAGAGCAATCTGGTTATTGGCCGCACTGTCTTCTGACTGTCCCACGTGACTGTTTTCTGACTATCCCACGTGACTGTGTCGTCTGACTGTACCAGATGGTAGTGACTGTTTTTTTGACTGTATTGACAACTGTACTGTACTTGTATTGTACCTTTACATGTAACTGTATTTTGTATCTGAACTTGTATCCATACTGTATCTGTACCTGCGCTCTCTTTTGTATTGTTGTACCTGAATAAATGTTTTGAATCTTAGTTGAATATAGAAGTTGATGTTTAACCCCTGTGGTAACTCAACCAGTTAAGCCTGTTGAGGTGACAGAGAGAGAGAGAGTCAGGAGGTGTACTAATGTTTCACCACCATTATGAGGAAGGGAGATGCTCTTTTGTACATGTAACTGTAGTACTTGGTATGTACAATGTATAGCTGTAGTATTCTGTGCAGCATGTAGCTGTAGCATTTAATATGTACATGTGGCTTTGGAACTTATGTACAATGTGCAGCTGTAGTAATTATTATGTACAGTATATATAGCTCTTGTGCTTGTAATGTACAACATGTAGCTGTAGTTCTTGTTATGTAGCTACAGCATGTAATTATAGTACTTATATACAACAAGTAGCTGTTGTGTTATGTACAACATGATCACAAGTCGGTGGTTCAGTAATCTTTTGAGAGAAAACTATAAATAAGTTTGACACTTACAATAAATTTGTATAATTAAAGAGAGTTCTAACTAATGTGGTTTATTTACTATTGATGGCCTTACGACAGGTCAAACTGGGTCATACTAAGTCATGCCAGGTCATGTTAGGTCCCACTGGGTCATGTCAGATCACATTAAGTCATGTAAGGTCAGTCCTGGACATGTAAGGTCACACTGGGTCACGTCAGGTCGCAGAGTCAAGTCAGTCCAGGTCATGTTAGGTCACACTGGGTTATTTTAGGTCACTTCAGGTCACACTGGATCATGTCAGGTCGGTCCAGATCACATCAGGCCACACTAAATCATGTCAGGTCAGTCCAGGTCACATCAGGCCACACTAAATCATGTCAGGTCAGTGCAGGTCACATCAGGCCACACTAAATCATGTCAGGTCAGTGCAGGTCACATCAGGCCACACTAAATGATGTCAGGTCAGTCCAGGTCACATCAGGCCACACTAAATCATGTCAGGTCAATGCAGGTCACATCAGGCCACACTAAATCATGTCAGGTCACACAGGGATCATATCAGATCACACTGGGTCATGTCAGGTCAAACTGGGTCATGTCAGGTCACATCCAATCATCATTTTCATGTCAGGTCAAACCAGATGGTTTGGAGGTTGACCTTGTGTTCTCATGAGTAACAAATTTGGAGGAACTTGTAAGGGTGATAAGTGACACTTAGCGGAGAGATCCTTCACTCAAGTGTCTACCTGAGGACTTGTGCTGGGGTCAGGGCGTTGTACGTGAGCAGGGGCGTGAGTATGGGTGTGGGTATTGTTATGGGTATTATTGGCCTTGAACCTTGGCGTGGGCGTGAGTAAGAGTGTGGGTATTGTTATGGGTATTATTGGCCTTGACCTTGGCGTAGGCGTGGGCGTGAGTAAGGGTGTGGGTATTGTTATGGGTATTATTGGCCTTGACCTTGGCGTGGGCGTGGGCGTAGGAGGTCAGGTTCGGGTGTGGTCGAGGCTAGAGAACTTATACCTACAGGGCCAGCGGGTGTCTATATCATGTATGGGGATAATCTCCTCTGATGGCTTCTCACCTGCCAGTTCCTCGCGTACCTGAGAGACAACATACCCAGTTAGTGCCCGATGTAGGGGGGGGAGGCAGGTAACCCGTGGAAGGGGGGCACGTACTCGGGGGGGTTGGGGGAGGAGAAGTGGGACGTACTCAGGGTGGGGTGTGGGAAGAGAGAGAGGGAGAGAGGTAAGGGAGGGAGGATATTTTTCAGGTGAAGGGGAGGGGAGAGGAGGGACATCAGGGAACGTGCCTGGAGAGAGAGAGGGAGGGGGGAGGGGGGGGGGGAGGGAGGAGAGAAGAAAAAGAGGAGATATAATTTAAGACTTCATGACACACACACACACACACACACACACACACATGACACACACACACACACACAGACCACACCACCAAGAACAACAACAACAGTACCTGCTCGACCTTACTGAAGACACGTAGGAGGTTCAGGCCAGCCAGCTTCTTCAGGTCCTGCAGTGACCAGGTGGGATCCTTCAGAAGCTCAGCGAACAGTTCAGGATATCTCGACACGTCCTCCAAGCCCTCGGGCGTCCTGAAAAGGGTAGACGAGAATCGATGAGTTCCTATATGAGAGAGTAGGTAGATGAGGAGGAGGAAGAAGAGGATAATGATGAGGAGGAGGAGGAGGAACAAGAAGAAGAAGAAGAAGAAGAAGAGAAGAGAAGATATTAGTGGACGTTGCCTCACGATCTTCCTCACTTGTAAACTTTTTATGAGGTGGACAAAGTGTGTGTGTGTGTGTGTGTGTGTGTGTGTGTATGTATGTGTGTGTGTGTGTGTGTGTGTATGTATGTGTGTATGTGTATGTATGTGTGTGTGTGTGTGTGTGTGTGTGTGTGTGTATGTGTGTGTGTGTGTGTGTGTGTGTGTGTGTGTGTGTGTGTATGTGTGTGTGTGTGTGTGTGTGTGTGTATGTGTGTGTGTGTGTGTGTGTGTGTGTGTGTGTGTGTGTGTGTGTGTGTGTGTGTGTGTGTGTGTGCGCGCTTCTTCCTCACATACACTCCTCCTGTAAGGTTAGGTTAGATTAGGTTAAGTTGGGTTAGGTTATGTTAGGTTAGGTTAAGTTGGGTTAGGTTATGTTAGGTTAGGTTATGTGTCTTGTTGATATCTGGTACATACATAGTCCCCAACACACACACACAGGGATCCTAGGGAAGACTTAAGAGATCCTACGGAAGACTCAGGAGGTCCTAAGCAAGACCCAGAGGTGCTAGGGAAGATACAGAGATCCTAGGGAAGAGTGAGGTATCCTAGAGAAGATTCAGGGAGGATCCTAGGATAGAGTGAGGTATTCTAGGGTAGACTCAGAGGGTCCTAGACTCACCTGTTAATGCCGTCGTAACCAGCCCCCAGGCCCACGTGATCAGCACCCGCCATAGTCCGCACGTGGTTGATGTGAGCTGAACAACAACAACAACAACAACTATTATTATCCATCAATTATAAAGGTTCATAAATCAATTAATCCCTCAACTTATCATTCTAGCTATCTATCAATTAATTATCTATCATCCGCTGTCAGTCAGTCAATTAATCTACCTATGTATTTATTAATTATCTATTAGCCATTGTTACTATCTCTTAGCCATTCAATTAATTATCTATCACCCACCAATCACCTTCCAATCAATATATCATTAACTACTGTATCTATCGTCCACAGGTGAGAGAGAGAGAGAGAGGAACTTACCAACAACATCAGTGAGGGCGGCCGTCTCGTTACAGGTGAGGAAGGCGCTGTAGAAGCTAACCATCACTAACCCCCCGTTAACTGCCTGTAATACCAGGTTAATACTGGGTAATTAGGGTTAATACTACGGTAATTAGGGTTAATATTGGGTGATTAGGGTTAATGCTACGTTAATACAGGTTAATACTATCTTAATACAGGTTAATACTATGTTTTTACAGGTTAATACTACGTTAATACAGGTTAATACTACGTTAATACAGGTTAATACTATGTTTTTACAGGTTAATACTACGTTTTTACAGGTTAATTGGGATTGATACCGGTAAATACATGCTAATGCCATGTTAATATCACGTTAATACAGATTAATACCATGATAATACAGGTTCATTGGGGTTAATACCATGTTGATTCAGGTTAATACCACAAAGAGAGAATGATAATAAGCGAGAGAAAGACAGAGACAATAACCGATACAGTCAGACAGATGTAACTCACCAGCAAGCTCAGCACATCGTCAGGTACATTACGATCAATATTACATATGGCCCTGGCTGCTGAGTGAGAGAAGATGACGGGGGCGCGGGAGGTGCGGAGAACGTCGTGGGCGGTGGCGGCAGAGGCGTGGGACAAGTCTACCATCAGCCCTACACGGTTCATCTCTCGTATTATCTCCTGAGGGTGAGAAATGGTGGTGAAGTGGTGGGGGTAGGGGTGGAGGTGGGGGTGATGAGGGTAGGGGTGGAGGTGGGGGTGATGAGGGTAGGGGTGGAGGTGGGGGGCAGGGATGGAAAGACGGTAGTAGTAGTAGTTGAATGAGGGTGCGCCAAGTCTGCAGACTCTTTGCTAGATGAGGTAGGGATGGAGGGGGGTGATGAGGGTAGGGGTGGGAGGTGGGGGGTATGGGGTAGGGGTAGGGATTTGGGATAGGGGTGGGGTAATGGGGGTGAGAAGTGGGGGATGGTGATGGTGGGGGAGGAAGGTTCTGAGTGTGGGAGGAGAACCATCACACACACACACAACAGATAGCTACTAACAAACAGAAACAAACGAACAGGTAAAACCAACAAGAAAAATTAATAAAACCAATAAAAGAGAAGATAATAAAGTAAAACATAACGAAAGAAGGAATAATTAGAAACAGAAAAAGAAAAAAAATGTAATCAGCAACAGTTAATTTGTCTCCATTTGTGTGTCGATGATAATTACCTGGTGAGAGACAGACTTATTACCTGAGATTACTATTACTGTATGTGTGTGTGAGTGGAGTTAATAGAGAGACACAAAGAGAGTGAGAGAGAAGGACGACTTTGGTGGTTGTCTCAGTAGCTGTTAAGATAAATTCTGTCAGCTCAAGAGATTTAAAGTTCCATTGTCAACATTTGTCAAGATTGAGGCCTATTGGGACCCCCTGACCTTGTGCTAGTGAGAGGGGGGGAGGTGGGAGGGTGAGGTGGGGAGTGAGGGGAGGCATGGAGGTGAGGGAGGTGGGGGAGTGAGGGGTAGGAGTGGGAAAGTAAGGAAAAATGAGGGGAAATGGGGGAGGTGGGGAAGTGAAGGGGGAGTGATGGGAAGGAGGGACAGAAGGAATGGAGAGAGAGAGAGAGAGAGAGAGAGGTTCAAGTAATAGTACACCAATATAGCCTGGCCACCTCCTCCTCCTCCCTCTCACTGCCACAGAATCTTGTGTGTGTGTGTGTGTGTGTGTGTGTGTGTGTGTGTGTGTGTGTGTGTGCCAGACATTTTTAATAAAGTTGTCCGTTGCTCTTTTTCGTTTCAAAATTTTCGTAAATGAAAATTCAACAGTTTAATATCATGATATAAATTGATGATTATGACAGGGGCTGCCTTACTGCATGTGTGTTATTATCTCTCTCTCTCTCTCTCTCTTTATCACTGTATCTATCTTTCTATCTCTTTCTTTTTCCCTCTACTTCACTTCATTAGGGCCAACAATTTAGGATGATAAACGACCCATTAAGTAAAATTTATAATCTTTTTTACCTATCGTGTGTTGACATAATACAGACACATAGGCTCACTATCCATACACTATACATATATAACAGCAGCATACACGCACAGCAAACATACATAATATCAGTATACATACATATCCTCAGTATGTATACTTTATACATATATATTCTGAATATACGAGTATACAGTATACCGTACACATACGCAGTCTCAGTATACACCTTGCTCTTAGTGTTGTGATGGAGAAGGAGGGAGTTGGGAGGAGGAGGAAGAAAAGGGAGAAGGAGGAGGAGAAGGAAGAAGACTTTCGTGTCAACAGTGAGAGAGAGAGAGAGAGGTAGACAAAGAAAGACAGGCAATGTGTAAGAGACAGAGAGACAGTGTGAGAGAGTGTAAAAGAGAGACAGACAGTGTGCAAGAGACAGAGAGACAGTGTGAGAGAGTGTAAAAGAGAGACAGACAGTGTGCAAGAGACAGAGAGACAGTGTGAGAGAGTGTAAAAGAGAGACAGACAGTGCAAGAGACAGAGAGACAGTGTGAGAGAGGAAAGAGATAAGAGACAATGTGCAAGAGACAGAGAGACAGTGGGAGAGGGAGTGTAAAAGAGAGACAGACAAGAGACAGAGAAGGAGAGAGTGTAAAAGAGAGACAGACAGTGTGCAAGAGACAGAGAGACAGTGTGAGAGAGTGTAAAAGAGAGACAGACAGTGTGCGAGAGACAGAGAGACAGTGTGAGAGAGTGTAAAAGAGAGACAGGCAATGTGTAAGAGACAGAGAGACAGTGTGAGAGAGTGTAAAAGAGAGACAGACAGTGTGCAAGAGACAGAGAGACAGTGTGAGAGAGTGTAAAAGAGAGACAGACAGTGTGCAAGAGACAGAGAGACAGTGTGAGAGAGTGTAAAAGAGAGACAGAGAGAGAGCGGCAGTGACAGACAGCCACCAACTTCCCAAACAACACACAAACTCTCAATATTTTAATTCAAAGTCAAAAAAATAACTAAAACATGTGAAGCCAATGTTGTTATTTTGACCCGGGGCAGTCGGGAGGTCAGAGTCGTGCCAGCTGTTGCCACTAATAGCCAATTAAAACAGCGGACTTCCTCTTACTGCACCCTATGGCTTCAATCTCATTGGTGCTGCACCCTGGCCGGCTAACTGTTAGTAAACTCAGACTCAATGTAAACAGATGATCATCCTCTCCTGTTCGGGATCCGTTATGTTCGGGATCCGTTATCACCGTGATCATGTCCGTCCCACTATGTCCGTGATCCAAAATGGCCGTGACCCACTGTGTCCGTGACCCAATATGCCCGTGATCCACTATGTCAATGATCCACTATGCCCGTGATCCACTATGTCAATGATCCACTATGTCCGTGACCCACTATGTCAATGATCCACTATGTCCGTGATCCACTATGTCAATGATCCATTATGCCCGTGATCCACTATGTCAATGATCCACTATGTCCGTGATCCACTATGTCAATGATCCACTATGTCCGTGATCCACTATGTCAATGATCCACTATGTCCGTGATCCACTATGTCAATGATCCACTATGTCCGTGATCCACTATGTCCGTGATCCACTATGTCAATGATCCACTATGTCCGTGATCCACTATGTCAATGATCCACTATGTCCGTGATCCACTATGTCAATGATCCACTATGTCAATGATCCACTATGTCAATGATCCACTATGTCAATGATCCACTACGTCCGTGACCCACTATGCCCGTGAGCCACTATGTCAATGATCCACTATGTCCATGAACCAATATGACAGTGATCCACTATGACACAATCGTACTAGCCACTATTATCTTCACTATAGAGAGAATGCAGCAGCACATGTTAATATATCTTGTATGTCCTACATTTAATGGCCTCTCTCTCTCTCTCTCTCTCTCTCTGTCTCTCTCACACACACAGTACTCACCTTGCCATAGGGTGTGAGGCCGGGTGTGTTAGGGGGCAGACCATCTCTCTCTGAACATTCTGCCCTGGAGGAGACAGTGTCGTAAGTGTCAACAACAACAACAACAACAACAACAATATTAACAATAACAACAACAACAACAAAAATAATGATAATAATAATAATAATAATAATAATAATAATAATAATAATAATAATAACTAAGGATTAATTACTAGGGTGCGATGATAGGGTGTGTGGGGGGTAAGTTACTAGGATGTGTTGCTAGAGTATGTGAGGGTGAGCTACCAAGATGTATTAGGGTGAGTTACTAGAGTGTGTTAGAGTAAGTTACCAGGGTGTGTTAGGGTGAGTTACTAGAGTGTGTTAGAGTAAGTTACCAGGGTGTGTTAGGGTGAGTTACCAGGGTGTGTTAGGGTGAGTTACCAGGGTGTGTTAGGGTGAGTTACCAGGGTGTGTTAGGGTGAGTTACCAGGGTGTGTGGCACTTGTGGGTGAGGGTGACGTAACGCACTCCCAGGTCATACAAGGCGCGCACCACGCCCATACTACTGGCCAGCCCATGACCGCCCTCCACGCCCAGTAAGCTGGACATACGCCCACGCCGGAACTCCTCCATGATTCCTGGAGGTCAAGAGGTCAGGACGTTAATCTCTCTCTCTCTCTCTCTCTCTTCGCTTTTCAAGATCTCAAACAGTCTTTTCCCTCATTCCCTCGCTCCCTCACTCCCCACACCCTCACACTCTTCACACCCTCACTCCCCCACACCCTCGTACACCACCCCCTCAACCCCTCGCCCTCACTCCCCCCACACCCTCACACACCCCTCACTCCGTCGCTCCCTCACTCCCCCACGTTCCTGCCACCCCTCGTACCCCCACTCCCCCACACCCTCACTCCCCCACACTCCTCACACCCTCACTCCCTCACATCCTCTCTCCCTCACATCCTCACTCCCTCGCTCCCTCACACTCCTCGCACTCCTCACGCCTCACCTGAAGAAGACCTCACTAAGACAGTGTCTCGGGGGCTGGTAGCGATCATCCTCTTCACCACGTCGATCTGTTCAAGCAACAACTGTACCGTGTTGAGGTACTGGGCCTCACACGGTACATAGACCGACCATAACTGTGGGAGAGAAGAATGGTGGCGAGTGAGGTACAGTGCTCTCTCTCTCTCTCTCTCTCTCTCTCTCTCTCTGTCAGCCGCTGGTCATTCATCACAGCTACACTATAACGAAGTCATCACCATAACGACACCGGCCAGGGTAACGAGGTGTTTCGCTACAACAACACGACCTGACCTGACAATCACCAGTCTACTGGGTCGTTAGCGAGGGAGGGGGCGCTAGTTCCCTCTCCTACCCTTCTCTCTACCCTCCTTCCCCCTTTCCGTCAGGACATACACACGGTCATAACATACATACGTACATAGGCCTGGCATAACAAACACACTGTCATAAAACAAACACACACACACACACTGTCATAAAACAAACAAATACACATACACACACACACACAGTAAATATTCACTCCCAGTAAACACTACTCCTTGCACTGTCACTATGTTGAAATGAACTGTAGTTTGAGCTTTTCCCCATCTAGTTATTATATGTCTTATTTGTATCACTTATGTTACTTGTATATTATTTGTAATTCGAAACCCATTCCCCAAATATGTAACTGTATATTTTCAGCCTTCTGGCTGCCAAGCTCTTTCAATAAACCGTTAATTATTATTATTATTATTACACTGTAAAAACACACACACACACACACACACACACACTGTCATAGCAGACACATACACAGCCCTGGTCCCTGGTCTCTTTTTTTTCAATATTGTCAAAATTCTCTTAAAACTGTAAAACTGTGAACTGTGAAATTAAATAATGAAAGTGGAAACGAAAAATAAAAAAAAAAGATTTGCGTCACAGATTGTAATTTTTGTCATCATAACAATTTTACTATTATTACTACTACCATTGGTACCACCATTACTACCACCATCTACTACCACTATTACCACCACTAACACCATCACCACCATCTACACTACCACTACCAGATACCACCATCATCATCACTACCACTACCAGACATCACCATTCTTATCATCACCATCTTCACTACTACCAACATTGAATACGTTATATCTGACATTTGAGAGAGAGAGAGAGAGAGAGAGAGAGAGAGAGAGAGAGAGAGAGAGAGAGAGCAATTAGGTGAAAAAGTGAGGGAGAGATAATTTGGTTAGGTTAAGTTAGGGTAGGTAAAGTCAGGTTAGGTTAGGTCAGTGCCCCTTAGTGTGGGACAGTGCCCCTTAGTGTGGGACAGTGCCTCATAGTGTGTGACAGTGCCTCTTAGTGCGTGACAGTGCCTCTTAGTGCGTGACAGTGTCTCTTAGTGTGGGACAGTGCCCTTAGTGTGTACAGTGCCTTAGTGTGGGACAGTGCCTCTTAGTGGGACAGTGCCTCATAGTGTGGGACAGTGCCTCATAGTGTGGGACAGTGCCTCATAGTGTGGGACAGTGCCTGATATGATCAGTAAAAGGCTACATATGAGCCTCAGAAACTATTAATTCTATGTTCATTCTGATTAAAACTTTTCTGATAAGTTGAAAAGATGAATTTAAAATCTCTCTCTCTCCACCAGGGAGAGAGATGACCCCATCATCCAAGGTGACAGCATGAAATTAGAATATTCTAAAGAGACCCCAGAAATTATTATGTTGCCCATATATACAGTATATACATACATACATACAGGTACATACATACATACATACAGGTACATATATACATACATACAGGTACATACATACATACACACATACATACATACATATACAAAGCGAGACAGTCACACATATCACAAATAGACAGGCAGACAGACAGCCACACGCACATAATTACAAAGAGACAGAGACAGAGACAGACAGACAGACAGGCAGACAGCCAATAAACATCACACTGACAGAAAAACTTCAACACAAAAACATCTTTTATCTCACCTCTTGACTGACTCCATCAAAAAGAAAGAAAGGAAGAACAGTAGTAAAGCAACACAAGCAGTCATTAATTATTTATTATAAAACCTTAATGATAGAAGCGTGTGCGAGCAATTAAAGAAAATGAGAACGTATGAACTATCTTTATTTTCTCACAACTGTTGCTCACTTTTGGGGATAATATTTTTAGAACCCGAGATATTTTTGTATATTGTTTGTGTATAATTTTTCATTGTTTTTCGTGTATAAAGTTTGCATATTTTTTTCGTGTGTGGTACAGTTGTTTTAATAATGTGTGTGTGTGTGTGTGTGTGTGTGTGTGTGTGTGTGTGTGTGTGTGTGTGTGTGTGTGTGTGTGTGTGTGTGTGTGTGTGTGTGTGTGTGTGTGTGTGTGTGTGCCTGGGGCTGAGAGAGACAGGGGAGAGAATTAAGACAACGAGAGAACAAACAAAATATATAGCGAAAGAGAGGTAAAGATACAGATGAGAGGGGGGAGGGGAGAGGAGAAGGGGGATGAGGAAGAGTGGTAAGAGAAGGAGTAGCAAGAGAAGGGGGGAGGAAGAGAAGTAGTGGTAGAAGGGGTGATAGGAAAGGAAGGCTCTCTCTCTCACCAAGCACCACCTGGGGATTAAGTGTAATTAGACCGGTATTTTCTTGGTCTTATCACCTGACATCATCACCCGCTGGTTGTGTGTGTGATCGCTCGCCCAGACGCACATGACCACTGTGCGCGTGATTATACTTACACACACACACACGCGTACACATACATACACATATACTGTAGATACACACGCATCTGCACATACATACATACATACATACATACATACATACATACATACATACGGTACGTACACAGAAGAACACAGATACTCACTGCATACTTAAGCATACACACACACACACACACACAACACACACATCTCAAAGTCAATATATAATTAAAAATATTTGGAAATTACTTCGGGGAGAGGCGGAGTCTTGTGTTCATTGTGTAGAGAGAGAGAGAGAGAGAGAGAGAGAGAGAGAGAGAGAGAGATAAGAGTCATGTCACCAGGATATCAAGGAGAGATAACTGGGTCAAGACGGTGATAAACGTCAAGTCTTGGGGAGATCACACGCACTTATCAGGCTCTTCCTTCTTCTTCCTCCTCTTCCTCTTCCTCGTCCTTCCCCTTCCTGCTCTTCTTCTTCCTCCTCCTGCTCTTCTTCCTCCTCCTTCTGTTCCCTCCTCCTCCTTCTCTTCTTATTATTATTATTATCACCAATATCATCATCACCTTTGCTTAGCCCCCCCTCCCCCTCACCCCACCTCCCAACCCCCTCCCCCACCACCACCCCCAGCCTCCCCTCACACCACCCCTCCCCAGCTCCCCTACCTCCCTCCCCAACTCCCTCCCCTCCACCACCACTCCTTCCCCCAACACCCTCCCCTCCACCACTCACCTGGGCGGCTACCTGGCCTTTCTTCAGCCTGGGCAGGTCAGTGTGAGAGAAAGGTGAATTCATCCAAGGCTTCTCTCGGGTCAGGTCAGTCGACAGGTTGAACGAGTGGAGTTTATTGTGTAGAAACATCCTCACATTCCACGCTAGATCGTTGTGCCTGAGAGAGAGAGATGGCTTATGGTGAGTTATGGTGGAGAGATGAGTTATGGTGAGGGAGAGATGAGTAAATGATGAGTTATAGTGAGTTATAGTGAATCTTACTGGATCCCGGTGAACCAGATAGGAGTGGCACCCAGACATGAGTCAGTCAGTCATTGAGGTGAGTCAGATGGTTTGTGTGACTCATGAAAAGTGAATTGCCTCGGGGGGATGTTCTTCATTTTTCCTCCTACTTCCTTACTCTTTCCACCTCCCTTCTCCCTACTTCCTTACATCCTTCCTCTTCCCTTCCTCCTTATCTTTCCTCCTCTTCCTTCTATCCTTTCCTCTAGCTCCTTTCCTTCCCTTCCTCCTCTTCCTTATCTCCTCTCTTTTCCTTCTCTTCCTCATAACTTCCTACCTCTTCTTTACCTCTCCTCTCACCCTTACCTTTTCCCTCCCCCTCTCATCCTCCTCTGCCTCCATTGCCATCCCCGCCCCTCTCTTTCCCCCATCCCCACTCCCCTTACCCCTACCCCCCCTCACCTTCTCTCCTACCACTCCTTTTACCCCTCCTCACTTCCTACCCTTCCCTCCTCCTCCTCCACCTTCACTTCTCTCCCTTCCTCCTTCCCTCCTCACCCCTCTCACCCCCCCTCTCACCACCGAAAGATCAAACACTGGTAAAATATTTCTGGACTTTCTTTTATACATGTGTAAACTTTTATTTATTTCTTATTTTTATTTTATTTATTTATTTTTATTTTTTGTTTACTTATTAATTTTTCACAACTTAATCTGACTTTTTTTTTACGTTTTTTCTGGTGTTTTTTTTGTGGACATTTTGTAGTACTTTGTGGCATTAACCTCGTAGGAAGTTATACACACACACAGACACACACACACACACAGACACAGACACACACACACACACACACACACACACACACACACACACCTTCAGCATCGTTCTAATAAAAATAAATTACCAATTAAAAAAGTCAGAATCAGCGCTAATGGTTGTTTTACCTGAGCCGAGAAACACTACATAATTCCTTTGTTTTCACAACCGATCTCGGTCTTATTAACTTGTATTCTTTTCCCAGGGCGATAAACACTGAATAATGTCAATGTCATTATTTATTTACGAGTCTGTTTTTTTTCTAGGTGAATTGAGCTATTTTTTTGTTTTACCTCAGGACGATAAACGCTGGATAATGTCTTGTTATTCTTTATTTATTCGTTAATCTGTTTTTCTTCCAGGATGATATAAGCTGGGGTGGGTTAATCTTAAGGTGAAATAAGGTGGAGGTTTAATCTCAAGGCGAAATAAGCGTAAGCGATCTATTCAGGCGAAAATAAGCTTAGGCGATCTAATCTTCAGGTGACAATAAGCTGGGGTGGGTTAATCTTCAGGTGATGCCGCTGTGCTCTCCAATATAAGTCAGTATCGGTCATAAGCCACAGGTGTGCTGACAACATTAATTCTGTTCATAAACATCCACTGAAGGATCTATTTAACTCAAGAATTTTACCCCGGGTTTTATGTGTGGCGAGATGACTCCAATATGACTCTAATGTGACTAGTATGATTCCAATATGATTCTGTGTGATTCCAACATGACTCCCAATATGACTCTAACTAATATGACTCCCAATATGACTCCAAGACTCCAATATGACCCCAGTATGACTCTAACTAATATGACTCCCAATATGACTCCAAGACTCCAATATGACCCCAGTATGACTCCAAAACCCGAATATGACCACAATATGGCTTCAATATGACTCGTTTTATGGGTCTAATATATATCTGGTGGACTTGTTATGTGTCTTGTAAGATATTTGATATCTTATGAGACGATGGTGGACAGCTGCTGGTGTGTGTGTGTGTGTGTGTGTGTGTGTGTGTGTGTGTGTGTGTGTGTGCGTTGTATGGAGAGAGAGAGAGAGGGGGGGAAGAAGAGGAAGAAAGACGGAAAGCTTGAACATGATAGATAAACAATAAGACTATACACGTAAACAATAAGACTATACACGTAAACAATAAGACTATACACGTAAACAATAAGACTATACACGTAAACAATAAGACTATACACACAAACAATAAGACGATACACACAAACAATAAGACTATACACACAAACAATAATACTGTATACACAAACAATAATACTGTATACACGTAAACAACAAGACTTCATACAGGTAAACAACAAGACTATACAGGTAAACAACAAGCCTCACCCGTCAATAAGCGGCGACTGTTTGAGAAGTTCCCTGGCAGCTCTCAGTCTCTCCCGGTGTGAAGCCTTTGGGGAGATCCTTACAGGTAAGGGACTAGCCCAGCATACTGTCCCAGCCACCACCACCACCACCAGAGCCACGACCCTGCAGTACATCTCTGAAACACAAGAGATTATGAGTACAGTTAGTGTGTTGTGGTGGTGAGGACGACCCTGCCCAGTACATCTCTGAAACACAAGAGATTATGAGTACAGGTAGTGTGTTGTGGTGGTGAGGACGACCCTGCAGTACATCTCTGAAACACAAGAGATTATGAGTACAGTTAGTGTGTTGTGGTGGTGAGGACGACCCTGCAGTACACCTCTGAAACACAAGAGATTATGAGTACAGTTAGTGTGTTGTGGTGGTGAGGACGAC